CGCAGGTGGCAGTTGTCGAGCGGCGAAGAAACGACTGGAGGGCCGAGCGCTCGGCACGGCTAAGCCGCTTCGCTTGGCCCCCGAGAACCTTGACTACCCCCAACTCGAAATCGGGGGAGTGAACAATATCCGAGTTCGGTGCTACAACATAATACCAAATAAGACTATTAGAAACAAAACAAAAATGCGACATTAAAACAAAACGTACCGAGGTAGTGGCTCAAAGACGGCTTGATCTCGAGCAGTCCGTTGAGAAGGTCACGATCGTCGAGCAGGTTGAGGTCTATCGACTGTAATTTCTTCGAAATTGACTCGACATCTGCCATCTCGACCAGGAGCGCTTTTAATCTGCGGTTGGCTGCCGGTGACGGCATCACCTCCGCCAGCTCGTCGTCATCCGCACTTATATACTCACGAAGAGCCAGGTAGCGATCCAGCATCGCGAATGTTGACCCCCTCGCGTCTCGTTGCGAAGTTTCGGACGAAGTGAAGTTTTCAGTCTGTTTTACAAAACAGTTAATATTAGTATTTACATTAAAATCAAATAAGACTTTAAAAACACTTACCGCAGCTTGGAAGCTTGAGTGATCGTGCGTAGCCGCCTCATTAGCGTTTGGACTTGTTCCAGATCCTCTTCATACGGCTTCAGAAACCGTCGCACCGCCAAATTCAGGCGGTGGCTGGCGCAGCCAACAAGCGGAACACCCATGAGATGGGCCAAGCGCTTGTTGACTGCACAGTTGTCTCCAACAACGAACATGATGTTAGAAAGGTTTTTACCAAAAAAATGGCAAAAAAGCAGCTAGTGCAGTCATGTGACTCTCCGCGTTCAGCCGGTCATCGAGCCCGTTAATGATCGGGGCAAACGAGAGCAGGGGGCACTTGCGCACGCCATGCACGTCGTAGCAGCCGTACACGGCCAGGTAGTGCTCGGTGCCGTGGGTCCATCCGTCAAGAATGACCCCAAACTTGTCCGGCAGCTCGGCACCGATTCGCTGCTCCACCGCCTTCGTGACTTTCTCCATGTCGCGAGAGATCGTCTCTTCGCACACAGGTGGCAAATTGGTGTAGCTACATAAATAGAAACAGTGTTAGCCTAAAACATCAAATTGAGTAGCAAATTCTGAACA